TGTGTTTCAAACATTTTCATATAAATTACCAATTTCGCCTCCTACATTAGCACTTTTTATCGCCTACATGTTTGACCGGCGCTACGCCCCCTCTACTGTCAACACCTACGTCTCGGCTCTCGGCTATTCCCACAAATTAATGGGATTGATGAATCCCACTAAAATATTTTACATTGTGCAAATGTTGAAAGGCTATGGCAAACAGGGTTTTCGTTTGGACGCTAGGTTGCCTATTACGCTAAAGATTTTAAATCGATTAGTAATGGCTGTGCCACACTGTGTCGCTACGTACTACGACCAGTGCCAATTTCGTGCGATGTGTGCTCTAGCATTCTTCGCATTTTTGCGCGTGGGTGAGATCACCGCAACATCACAGGCGGGCAATTGCCCTATACAGGTAAACCAGCTCACCAAACTCTCAAGAGATGGTGAAGTGATTGGTTACAAATTAATATTTGCTGATTACAAGCATAACTACAATCAGCGACCATTTACTATGGTCATCAACCGGCAAACAAGCGCTTGCCCTGTACAATTATTATCAACATATTTAAATCATCGTGTTGTTAAATAGAAAGTTAGAAATGGTATTATACTTACTCATGCATTATAATTATGTTTAAAAGATCAGAATATTCATAACTTCTTATTTTGTTTCATAAATAGTTCTTTAATATTCGAAACAAATTCCATATCTGCCTCGTCTGCCATCGCCATGTTTACTCGTCCCAATCTACATGCTGCACGGCATTGCGGCCCCTCCTGGCAAAATAATAAGCAAGCGAGAAAAATTAAGGAGAAAATAAGAGGGTAGGAACATTGTGGGCGTTTCGTGGGCGTGTCATCGTTCTGGACGAATCGGCTTTCGCAATCTTGTATCACTTGAATAATTCAAATCGTCATAGGCGGGAAGCAGCATTACGTCATCCCTACGTCAAATAAAACGTTATAAAACGCGTCGAGGATACGTTTGTGCCATATATGGAAGTTATGGATACGTTTGTGCCATATATGGAAGCGTCACTGCATCCAGCTTATGACAACGATGTTCCTACCCTCTTATTTCTCCTTAGTTTTTCTCGCTTGCATATTATTTTGCCAGGAGGGGCGGCAAATGCCGTGCAGCATGTAGATTGGGACGAGTAAACATGGCGATGGCAGACGAAGCAGATATGGAATTTGTTTCGAATATTAAAGAACTATTTATGAAACAAAATAAGAAGTTATGAATACTCTGATCTTTTAAACATAATTATAATACATAAGTAAGTACAATACCATTTCTAACTTTCTATTTAACAACACTACACCTGTCCTATTGCCCGTGGTCTAGGACCTGTATATGACTTTGTATGCGATTCATTTAGGACAGGTAATCTCAACTGTTTTAGGGTAAAATGACCATGGCGGTCAACATGGCATATGTGCGAAAACCTGAATCCGGGACGAAAGTCCTGAAAATGACCCCGCCCTGAAACGGCAGTTTCGACATAGCACTAACTCAGTCCAAAAAGGAAAAGCGATAGCATTTCTAAAGTGCTTATAGTGTTTAGAAGGGTTGCTTTTAGGGGTGGTCAGTGGAAAGAAAAATTTGCGTAAGTATAATATTTTACCAGAAAATGACAATGCACCACCCCAGGTAAATTGCTGATTATGCACAAAATAACTAATATGCCTGGCAGAAATTAAATATTCTTATTTCCTAAAAAATATTATTATGGGGTGGAAAACTATGCTTAATTTAATATACATATTGTTGATTTCATAAGGAATGTCATTGTTTTCTTTAAATATAATACATTTTATTTCACTTACCCCCAAGAAAACACGATTTCAGCCATATTTTGCCGTCTTGTTTGCTTTTTTGCCTTGTTTTTTTTTCTTGTTTGCGCACCACAGCAACCTAACTAAATGTATTATATTTTTTGTATTTTTATAATTGATACGCAAATATTTATTGCTTTTATCATAAATCACAAATAAATATAATGTACTTAGTTAGGCTGCTGTGGCCTGTGGTGGCGAACAAACGTTTCGTGAAAATATTCACTCCCCCTGTTATGTATCAAAGACCGTATCAAAACGTATCAAAGACCAAAGAATTGCGTGTCTGCTTTTCTAAGCTTACTCCATCGTTTGCCCCCATTACCATTCGCGGTCAAGAGGTCGACGTCGTTTCCGAGGCCAAACTATTGGGCGTTGTCCTTTCGGACGACCTCAAATGGAACTGCCATATTGACTACATTTGCAAGAAAGCCGCGAAGCGTTTGTACGGTCTGCGCCTTCTTAAAAGAAATGCTTTACCTACTCATATTCTGATCTCAACCTATTGTACACATATTCGACCAATTGTCGAATATGCTTGTCAGGTGTGGCATTATGGCCTTCCTCATTACCTGAGTGATCAAGTTGAAAAAATACAAAAAAGGGCATTAAAAATTATTTTCCCTGGAACTATTTATGCTGAATGTTTGCTTAAAGCTAACTTGATGACTCTTTACGAACGTAGAACTGTCCATTGCAAGCGACTTTTTTCGAAGATGTTGGAACCCACTCATAAACTGAATGCCTTAGTACCGCCTAAAAGTCTTCAAACTTATAATCTGAGGTCTTATCCCAACTTATTAGTACCTAGGTGTAGAACTGAACGTTTTTCGAACAGTTTCATTCCTGCTGCGTCTCGTGCTTATAATAATAAGTAAACTTTAGATTACTAACGTTATTTTTATCTAACTTACCTATTTTTACCTGTAAATATAGAATAGATTAAATACCTATGTTCTTATACCCTGTAATTCCAAAGTAATTCAGTTGTTACTGCTAGTTTGGAAATTTTTAATTTTTTTAATAATAATAATAATAATAATAATGTAACCCACGAGGTGTTTTCGCGAACTTGCGCGTGACTTTTAAATTATTTATTTTGAATTCCACCAGGACAACTATTATGGGAGGTTTTTTCCTCCCAAGTACAAATAATATTTCCAATTTTTGGATTGGTACTATTCTACAAGGAAGTACTCTTGGATAATGTAATCTAAATACATATGAAAACGAAGAAGTGGTATTTATCGGGCAGAGAAGCGGCGAGCCATTAAAATGGCGGCAATTTGACGAAGTATCGAAGGACACAATATCGAAGATATAATACACTGTACTGTTCCTAAAGTGGATGAAACCTTCTTTGAAATCTTCTGCAGCCATTTATGATCATGTAAGAGTACAAGAACTGGATGATATTTGCGAGATTCGGCGATAAAAAGCAAACAAGACGGATGGCTGAAATCGTGTTTTCGTGGGGGGTAAGTGAAATAAAATGTATTATATTTAAAGAAAACAATGGCAATCCTGATGATATCAACAATATTTATATTAAATTAAGCATAGTTTTTCACCCCATGATAATTTTTTTTAGGAAATAAAAATATTTAATTTCTGCCAGGCATATTAGTTATTTTGTGCATAATCAGCAATTTACCTGGGGTGGTGCATAGTCATTTTCTGGTAAAATATTATACTTAGACAAATTTTTACTTCCAATGACCACCCCTAAAAGCAACCCTTCTAAACACTACAAGCACTTCAGAAAGGCTATCGCTTTTCCTTTTTGGAAGTTAGAGCTATGTCGACACTGCCGTTACAGGGCGGGATCATTTTCAGGACTTTCGTCCCGGATTCAGGTTTTCGCACATATGCCATGTTGACCGCCATGGTCATTTTACCCTAAAACAGTTGAGATTACCTGTCCTAAATGAATCGCACCCAAACTCATATACAGGTCCTAGACTAGTCAGGATTTTTAATTTTTGGCTGGATTTAACGTGACAAGGTAAAATGAGAAATTTTCTAAAGATTTGTCGCTTGGATTTTCGTTTTATTGTCTTGTTTTAAAGTTATCGGCTTTCGTACATCGGCGTATAAAAAGTGCGTATGTTCGAATGCCGATAATTTTATAACTAAGCAATAAAACACAAATCCCTGAGGAAAACTTTTAGAAAATTTCTTAACTTTCCTTGTCACGCTTTATTTAAAACCCTATATTTTCCGTTCAATTGTATGTTTTTTACCGGTAGTGGGCTTTCCGTGCTCGCAGGGAATCTACCTACAATAACCAATTACGCATTCTGATTGGCTTAGAGCGGACTTGTCAACAAATGCGCTGATTGATTGAGAACGAAATTCCCCCTTGTTGTTGTTGTTGTTGTTGTTGTTGTTGTTGTTGTTGTTGTTGTTGTTGTTGTTGTTGTTGTTGTTGTTGTTGTTGCTGTTGTTGCTGTTGTTGTTGTTGTTGTTGTTGTTGTTGTTGTTGTTGTTGTTGTTGTTGTTGTTGTTGTTGTTGTTGTTGTTGTTGTTGTTGTTGTTGTTGTTGTTGTTGTTGTTGTTGTTGTTGTTGTTGTTGTTGTTGTTGTTGTCGTTGTTGTTGTTGTTGTTGTTGTTGTTGTTATTGTTGTTGTTGTTGTTGTTGTTGTTGTTGTTGTTGTTGTTGTTGTTGTTGTTGTTGTTGGCAGTGACTGCGTACACTTGACTTATGCCAGATGATTCTATATCAGTTGTAAACTGTTCTTTCAAGAAAGAATGTAATGGCCATCTCTGACAAATGGAATACAACAACGACAACGAGAACGAAAAACGACAACAACAACGACGACAACGACAACGACAACGACAACAACAACAACAAAATAACTAGACTGACTGTTATGGAGGACGGTCATGCTCATAGATATCTTATATACACTAGAGAGCGCATCTCCTTTAGTAAAATTGAAGCCAAGAATATTCCAGCTGTTACCCCCATTTGAATAGATGGCGGCCATGTGGAATTTCCCACTCGCTAGTAAACGCTTAAAAAACAACAATAAATTTCATCATTTGAATAGTTTGAAAATGTATTTGGATTAGGTTTAACTTAATGTTTAAGTTCCCTGTTTAAGAAATAGAAAACATACGAGTCTTTCCATTTCACGGGAATATCCTGAGTCTGCAATCACGGCTTCAATTTTTGAATTGCAGAATTAGATCTAGTGTATATAGGATATCGATGGTTACGCTATCCAAGGCTCCAATCTAGCTACACGCGTAAAGAATTCCAACTTGGTCAATAAGTCGTATTGGCACTGTACGTTTGTCCTCAGTTGCAGGAGCAAAATGTTATCATCTTGTAAGAATAGTGGTGAGACCAACAGACTCGAAACAAGTTGTTCCACAAAAAGTCTGATATCGTCGGCACGTGAGAGGTTGTCAACAAGTTGATAATAAGCTCATAGCACTTGCTACGAACAGTCTGTATTAGTCTTGTTCAAACAACTCTTGGCAAGTAAAATTGAAATATGACAAATTCTCGTCTTGTTTTGACAAATATCTTGAGTTTCAAATGCACATGCTAATCTTTGGGATTGTGTTCTGTCTTGTTTGGTCACAAGTTAAGCACAAATTTTTGTTGTCAATGGACTTCGTGTTTAAATGCATTAAATATGAACGACAATCAATCAATCAATCAATCAATCAATCAATCAATCGATGCGCCCTACTACAAATGAAACATGCACTGTAGTGAAAAATTTAAAACAACATTTCATATCTTCTGAACATTTACACCAATGAATATAAAAAAGGCTGTCGTTAAGTACCCCTCATACCTGCGCATTTTACGCCATCTCCGCTGAAACCTTCACGACACACACAGGTAAATGAGCCAGTGGTATTAGTACAGTCCGCATCAGCATGGCAATTATGTGATGCATCAGCACATTCGTTAATATCTAAAATTAATATAGGATATAAATATTAAAATAACACCAAGTACCAAGTCGCATTATCATCGCAACGAGGGGTTCTCAGAATTCATCTGAATTAAATATATTTTTATACAATACATATATTTGGATATAAATATGTACTGTAAGGTCACTGAACAGAAAACTAGGACTTCCGTAGTACCCAAGAAATTTGTTTAATTATGTTTTGGTAGTTGTTGAAAGTACAATTTCCACTCAGAACACTATGATCTGATAACTGTAGGACTGGTACCCACGATACTGGCTTAATTATATTTTAGCATAAACCTGCTAGTAGGCTGTCATGTGTCATGCGTTCTGATTGGTTACACTACTAGTAGGCTATTAGTGATAGTACAGAATAAAGACATACGGAAAGTCGACTCGAGTAACCGCCGCCACGCCATGATTTGTCATGAAAATGCTGACGCCATGGTCCTAGGCAGTGCGCTTATGAGAGGCATCCCTCCCTGGACGTCCGCAATTTTGAATAATATCAGGGGGGTGGAGCCTCTCATACGCGCACAGGCTAGGACCATGGCGTCAGCATTTTGATGACGAATTACGGATACGCCAAAATCATTGGAAAATAATAGAAAGACCAAGAAATCGGGTTTCTGTGTAGCCTAATCTATGGTAATAGCAAACTAGTAGCAAAAAGCGGCGAAGGGCGCGAGGTTCCACGGCGGTTTTTGAGTATTAAAGCTGCATTTAAGGGGAAAAAGCTTGTCAAAATGGCCTAATTTTGGTTCTGGATTACACACAAACAAAGACTCTTGGAAATTGCGGACACATACGGTAAAATTTTCAGTTTTCTCAATTTTTGCTCGTACAGTTTTGAACATGAAAGCGACATGCGATTTTTAAAATATATTGACAATGTTTGTTGATATTTCAAGTAGAATCGTAGAAATTCAACAATAGTTTCTCGCTTGTGCTCGTTATATAAGCACGAGTTGATGTATTTACTGTAGCTATAATTTTAAAGAGCTTTTTTCGTTTACTAGAATGTCGCGATCTTCGCCGAGTTTGTTTTTCGCCTTTTTAATCGAGTTTTTCAATTAAATTTTAATCTAAACTTTTGTCTATGTACATTAGATGAAGGAAATGGTTTGCTTCTTTATTTTTGCAGATATTTGGCGAAATGTCGCCAAAGGAGGCCATTTAAACCGCTCATTTCGTTAAAAAGTTATTATTTTACATGAAAGTCAGCTGAAAAATTACGTTTTCGTTATGTGGTTTATACTAAAACAATTAGATAACCCGGCTTCGTTGTCTAAATGTTAATTTAAGTAGTTGTTAAATGTACAAACCAGGACTAGTGATAACCCAGCTTTGAACATTGAACATTAACCCAGCTTTAAACGTTCTTTGACGTTGATCGTGCAAAGACATGGAAAACCATTTGTTCTAAATGTCGTTCGTGTTCTATTTCTTGTTGTTCATAAGTGTTGAGAGAGTTCCAAGCTGTCTTTACATTTCCAGAATGTGTTTTGTTTCTGTCTGTTTGAATAAACTAAATTATAATCAAAGGCCCACATGCATGAGAAGAATACTTGCGCGGTCTATGTTCTTGAAATCCTATCTTTGGAAAATGCAGGGACAGTTTGGAACATACGAATGTTTAGGATCATGTTTACTGTATTCTTTAACTGTGCATGTTTATGCTGTGCACCGTTGATACATTTATATACATAAAAAATATTTGTAAGTGTTAGGATGGTTTGAAACTCATTGATCCATATCGTGTGTTGTGATTTTGTGTTGTAGCTTTGTTAAAGTTTGCAACCGTGTCTCTATTGTTTCACAATGTGAATTAATTTGGGACTCCCCAGTCATGTTGTCTGTACCTCCAATCGTTTTGTTGATTGTAAAGTTTATAAATTAAATTAAATTAAATTAAATTAACAATCGCCCCAGCAATTATAAGACAAAAGAGACGTTACGTACGCACTCAGTTTTAAATCAAATTGAAATTTTCCAATAATAAAGCTATATGTGTACAATGTATCGAAAATTATAAGAGTGAAGAGAGAGAAATATAAAACAAAGTTACATGGAGCGGTCCGGCTGATATTGTTAGAGTAAATTATGTCAAGCTACCACTCCAGCGAAGTTCATACAAGAACCAGCAGGTTGGAAAACAACTCAAAATATCGAGAGAAGGTTTATCACATTGAGCGCTAAAACTCAATTTATATAATATGACAGATCTCAGGTTCTGTAAAATGGCTCATGTACTACAGGGTGTATAAAAAAAACTGCACAGATTTGAAATTTGCTCTTAAATTCGAAAAACGGCTATTAGTATCCAGTTTTTTTATGTATATATAGCTTCCTTGCGTACTTATAATGTAGAAAAATGGAAAAAATTTCTCGAACTCAAATTTTGTGAACCAGGGGTGTGTGTTTTTTCCAACAAAGTAAAAATGACTTGCGCACGAAATTTAAAAGCTTTAATCATATTTTAAGTTAACAGATGGAAAGTTTGTTGGGTGTTTAATTACTGTACAAAATTTCAGACAATTTGCTTCAGTTTACGCTCTTTAACCATTCATGCAAACTTACATTTTTTCTTAAAAAATCACCCATTTGCATGCTTATCAATGCCTTTGCCTAATTTGCATATGTCAGCAATATGCAAATTAGGTAAAGGCATTAATTAAGCATGCGAAAGGCTAATTCTTTAGAGAAAAATGAATAGTTAAAGGGCTTAAACTAAAGCAAGTTGTCTGAAATTTTGTACAGTAATTAAAACCCCAACAAATGTTCCATCTATCAACTCAAAATATGATTTAAAGCTTTTAAATTTCGTGCGCAAGCTATTTTTAGTTTGCTGGAAAAGACACCCCTCCCCCCTGATTTACAAAATTTGAGTTCGAGGATTTTTTTCCTTTTTTCTACATTATAAGTTCCCAAAGAAGCTATATACATAAAAAAATGGATACTAATAGCTGTTTCGCGAATTTAAGAGCAATTTCAAATCTTCTCCAGTTTTTTTTAATACACCCTGTATAGCCATCACCGTGAAACCAAAATGTCTTGTATGCTTTCAGAATGAAGTTAAAAAATCAGTTTTTCTCCTACCTTCACAATCTACGCCATTTCCGGTGAAACCTTCCTTACACTGACACGTGTAGGAAGTAATTGTATTAGTACAATTCGCATTATCATGGCAAGTATTGCTTCCAGAAACACATTCATCAATATCTAAATGAAAGGTATATTCAGAAGTAGCATAAGTACAATTCTGATGCATTTATATTTATACCAGAAATTACGGGAACCACTGAGTATTTTGATGAAATACAAAACGATACTCGAAAAATTGAAAGCATTTTGAAAAATTTGTAGCAATGATGAACTCCTTAATCTTGAACTAAATAATATGGCCTCTTTCATGTCATGGAATGAATTCCCTCGAAAACTCCCTAGAAAACTTTTAACATTGTTCAAACCCTCTTCTCCTAACCCAAATAACTCTAATAATGCTGTCATTGACCCCAATACAACCAAGATCTGGATTCATTTGCCTTTCCTCGGTAAATATGGAACTAAACTCACAAATAACTTCATTCGAAAAATAAGTCCTCTACTGAAATCCCCTTGCAAATTTATCGTCAACTGGAAAACAACTGATACTAATTGTTTCATCTCACTTAAAGACCCAACACCAAAAACGTATCAAAGCTCCGTTGTGTATGAATTCAAATGCCCTGGATGTAATTCTAACTACGTAGGAAAAACTGATCGCTGCCTATATACCCGTATTAAAGAGCATTTTCCTCTTG